GGGCTGGAGCAAAGGGCCTGGCTTCAGGAAGGCTCTCTTCTCCCTCAGCACCTCCGGACCTAGAGCCCCTGCTGCCCATTTCGGGTCGCCGCCAGCACACCAGGGGTTAACCATCTCTCTGGTGCTGAGGCCACGGCTGCAGCAGCACAGGCTGCAGCAGCACAAGCTGAACCGTGAGCAGCGGGAGGGCTGGGGCTGGGAGCAGCTGAGCGGCAGTGGCCGGCGGCGAGGAGAGAGGTTTTTCCCTGGCAGGCAGGAGCTTAAGGCTCCACTCCCTTGGCCAGAGGAGGTCCTCCCGTCCTTGGCCCAGGTCCCCTCCACACAGCAGCCCTTCTGCCTCAGGCTCTGGGCGATGGCACCCACTCAGGGTGGTCCACGATCACAGCCAGTATCCAAGTTCTTGCTGTCCCTGCTGCAGATCCAGGAAGGGCCCTGCCCAGTTGTGCTGGAGCACTGGGTGGGGACCGGGCAGGCGGCAGAGTCGGGGAGGAGGATGGGGAGGTCCCTCGGGGTCGGACCTGAGGCCTCGCCTTGACTTTCCCCTCCTCAGGCGGAACTGAGTCATGGGAGCCTCCCACGTCCAGGAGCCCGGAGGCAAAAAGCTCCGCCCCCTCCGCTCCCCGCGGCTGCAGCCAGCCCCTGCAGTCTGGAACCACACGAGCTGCGGCTTCCCAAGTGTGTGCAAGAGGTGTGTAATGAGTGAGTCCCTTGGCACCCTTCTCTTGGCCAATCCCACAACACCGCATCAGTGTTATCAATAGACAGTATTACTGTGACCCCCACCACCGATGAGCAAACAGAGAGGTTAAGAAATTTGCCTGAAGCCACACAGCCAGAGTGGCAGAGCAGACGGGAACCTTGTCTGACAGCAGTACTCGCAAACTTACCCACAATGCCACCCGAGAAGGTGGAAGAAGCAAAAGTTCACCAACAGAACACAGGTCTGTGCACCAAATCCAAGAAGGCAAGAAACGAAAGGCAACCCTGGGACCTGCCGGAAGAGCCAGGTGGTACAGCCCGAGAACGGCATCCAGAGGAAGCCGCGGAAATGCCTGGTCCCAGATCCGCAGACGGATCTGGGGTGGCAGGGACCTCTGTAACACCCCGAGGTGCCTCACCAGATCCCCACCAAGCAGGATCACCACCTAAACACATCACGATGTGCTTCTGGGCTTGAGGTGTGCATGGTCCTTGTTTAAAGAGGCAGTAACATTAACTCACTGCGGGACAGCACCCAGCAAGACTCTGCTAAGAAGGACCAGAAACACCTCAGGAGGTATCACAGGGGCCTGGTGCCAGGAACCAGCAATTCCCAGCACTCGCAGCTGCGTGACCTTATCTGCAGAAGCAGGCGCATGCCAGCACCAGCTCGCAGGGCTGCTATGGGATCAAAGGACATGCTGGTCAAAAAGCACTTGGATTGAACACTTTCATTTCCACAAAAACTTGTACACACACATTCAGAGCAGCATTATTCACAAAAGTACCCAAATGTCCATGGATGGTTAAATGAATAAACAAATTCTGATCTAGCCCAATAGCGTAATATTATTCAGCCATAAACAAGAATGGAGTACTGACACACGCTACAACATGGATAAATCTTGGAAACATGATGCTAAGTGAAAGAGGCTAGAGGCCAAAGGCCACATAGTGTATGATCCCATTTACATGAAGTGTCTAGACAGGTAGCAGACGGTGGTTGCCAGGGGACAAGGAGATGGAGGATGCAAAGTGGCTGCTAATGGATTCAGGGTTTCTTTTTTGCTTTGTTCTGTTTTTAATCAATTTTCTTTTTTACAGCAGTTTTAAGTTCAGAGATATTGAGCAGAAGGCACAGAGATTTCCCACACACATCCTGCCTGCACATGTACAGGAGCCTCCCCCATGATCAACATCTCCCAAGTGAATGGCACAGTTTTTACATTTATGAACCCTCTGGTATTTCTTTTTGGGATGGTGAAAATGTTCTGGAATTAGATTGTGGCGACAGATGCATGACTCTGAATGTACTAAAGCCCATAGATTGTACACCTTAAAAGGGTGACTTCTATGGTATGTGTATTATATGTAAAATTTTTAAAAACATTAAGAGCTCAGAAAATGTGGCTCTCATTTCTATATCTTTCAGCTCCAGAGTTTGTCATGTAACAGAAGAGACGAGACGAACACATTTAAAAATGCTTGATACCCAGGAGAGAGCCAGGCAGCGGCCCCAGCAACCAGGGATGAAGGTCACATGTTGGCACACAAAGGACATGGACAAGTGACAGCCGGAGCTGCTGCCTGCCACGCTGGCTGATGCAACGTCCCAAGTAAGCTCACATGCAGGTGTTGAACCCGCAGTGTTGAGAATAACCACCGTGCATCTGGCCATTGGGAAAAACTATGAGTCGGAGGACTTGGCTGGTTCAGCTGGGAAGAGTGCACAGCGACATGCGGTGGCTCAGAGGTGCGATGCCAACGGAGCCAGGCTGGCAGGAGAGGAGGGTGCTGAGCCGAGCAGGTGGCACATTCGGCTAGTGCTCCCCACCCCCTCCCACCGTGCAGAGCAGGTTCTGAGAGGTGCTTTTACTTCAGGTCACAAATACCTGCCGAAAGCTTACAGCAGGCTTGCCCCTGCCCTCAGAGCTCCAGGTTTCTGCTAAGCTGTGCAGGAGGCTCCTACTACTCTGAGCACCAGGTTTCTTCTTCAGAGAAGCGCCAGGCTTCGGATCCATCCCCTCTAGCCCACCTCCCAGGTGCCAGGAGAGAGAATATATAAGATTGGCAAGCCTGGTTTAGCACCACCTCCCCCATGTCCAATGACCAGCCACACTTATACTCTGGCCTAGGAGAGACAAGGCAGCCAGTCCTCGGAGCCTGGGCCCCGCCTCCAGCCCCAGGTGGAGCTGAGGGCACAGGAAGGCGCCTCTCGGAGGCAGGCCTGAGCCTGCAGCCCCACAGGTGAGGCCCACACAGTTCTCCTCCCACCCCTTTGCTGTCCCTCCTGCCTCCACCCTGTCCTGGGTGTCCCTAACTCTCAGGGAGAAGCCAAAGAACACGACCTCCTTGAAGAGAACACACCACACACACACACACACACACACACACACACACACACACACACAC